TTTAAATCAATGCCTGATTTTCTTTATTACCCGATGTGTCTTCAATGTCCATGAATTGGATGTCCTCTGCAAAGTCCTGGAGCAAAGGCTGACCATTCTTCTCCCCGTTGGCGTGGAGAATGTTTGAAAGGGGAAAGGAGATCTGTCTGTCCACTGCTGTCTCTACTCAGGGGGGGAGAAACACACACAGAAGAAGTTGTCTTTGCTGAAGAAGTCACAAGGCAATACAGCTGCTTTTTGCCAGAACACAGTTCTTTCTATTAACATTAACCATCTCTGCTCAATTAAAGGCTTCATTTAGTTGGAAAAAAAAGACTAAAGAACAACAGAAAATGTGTGAAAATTGCCCTTAGTATAGGCAGTCCGACACAGACACAAACACAAAGAGCAGGGTCCTCACCGCTGACTTTGCCGAGCCCCGGCGCCTTGTTCTTCAGCAAAGTCACTTGGATCTGAGGAATGTTGACGATGTTGGCATTCAGGACGAACTTAAAGTCCACGTGGCCCACCATGCAGGCCTTGGGCAGCACCAGCTCAAACACATGCTCGTCCCAGCTGGAGCTGCGGACAAACAACAGGCCACCATTAGCAGAAAATCAAAAACACACTACACTGGATTAGTCCAGACAAAACATGAAAATCCGTAAGGTAAAGTAAACTGAAGAACATCACAGCCACCAGTGGACGGACGTATTCTTTAACTCATTGGCTGCCAAAGACGTCTATAGACGTCATTTATGTTTTTCAACGAGAGTGGCTTTGGGGGACGATCTGCTAAAGCTTGTCCATAAATATCAGGCTTCTAGACAGAGTATGCAGTAACAAATTGACCCTCTAGGTGGCAGTGCCACTTTTGATGGGAGATGAGCATAGACTGTAGGCAAATAAGAAAAAGCTAACGGTTCTATGAGAGAACATGTCGCCGGTGAGACGCAAGTCCAGGAAGAACGGAATAATGTAGAAAGAATTTTTTTTCCTGATGAAAGAGGAGAGTCTACTCTTTCTTTTGGTGTGTTCGGTGTTTACATAGTCATAGCACAAACTATTCTGTGGCTATGGTTGTCACGATACTAAAATTTTCAACTGGATACCGATACTCAGGAAAATACTCGATACCATTTTCGATACCACAAGGATAAAAACAAAGACCCCAAAATTTAGCTGAATTTTGACAGGTTAGTGTCTCGATACTTTTGAAAATGAGTATCGTATCTGGATACAACATTTTAGTATCAATACTTTTTTGAGTATCGATACTTTTTTGAGTATCGATACTTTTGACAACCCTATCTGTGGCTCTTGAAAAATCAGTCAAGATGCAAATAAAACTCTGGCAGTCAATGAGTTAAAAGCTAAAAAACTGAAGCATACGTTTAAAATACCGAATGCCGAGTTTGGATCAAAGCTATTAAAAGCCCGGGGTGAAGGGCAGGCCTGACCTGTCGCTCTGCAGCTTCCAGGTGCGGGTGTGCTGCGCGGCGTCGCCGTGGTGCTGCTGGTGCAGGTGCTGCGGGTGGCGGCGCTGCTGCTGCTCCTGCTGCACCTCGGCCCAGCACGGCGGCACGGTGGCCGAGAAGCGCGGCGTCAGCGTCTCGAAGCGCGTCATCTCCACCAGGGACATCAGGCTCTCCGTGGCCAGGGGCTGCTCCACCAGGAGCTCCACTCCTGAACGAAAAGGACAATGAGAACCAGAACGGCCCCCTGTGGGACCCCAGCAGAATAGGGATGGGACGGTTTCTGAAATCCGTCCGAACCGTTGGGTTTGACTGTCTCGGTTCGGTTCGCGTTCGGTTCATGCTGCTCCTTTTTCTCAGAGGGAAGCGTTTACACTCCAGAGCAGAGGGTGGCGCTACTGCGCCCAAAGCCAACCACCAGTAGTAAACAACGAGAAGAAGAAGAAGCAGCGTAGCCCATAAAAATCAGACGCGCCAACAGCAGTTTCTAGGTCTGCTGTATGGGACCACTCTGCATTTAGAGGGAAGCACATGTTGGAATTAGCACCGTTTCCTCTCTGGCAATGCCAGAATCTCACCTACTTTTAACCTCAGACTGTCACAATGATGTATCAAATGTCAGACTGCTTTTTTCTTTCAGTTTTAACCTGACTATACAAGACATAATAGATGTTCCTAACAATCAACATATACCGAACCCAAAACCGTGAATCGAACCGAACCGTGGATTTTGTGAACCGTCCCACCCCTACAGCAGAATGGAGGGTTTTTTTTTTCCTGCCGGCTCAAACCTGTGATTCCGGGGCTAGAAGGGTTGGAGGAGGGCTTGGCCCCCTCGAGCAGCAGGTCAGCCCCTTTAGAAAGGGGGCCATCAATAAACATGTCCCCGTCATCTATATCATCACACACGCCTCCAATTTGAAGGAAATGAAGTTCTCCACCTTGATGGGAAAAGGGAAAGACACAACAAAAAGACAGAAATGTGAGGAGACCACGACCAACTCGCTGTTCTGCAGCTTCTCCCAAATGGAAAATCTGACGTGAACTTATTCCTTACGTTGATCTAAACTATAACAAAAACCCCAGTCAGGCTGCTTCCCATCGTACTAACCCTAACCCTGGACTATATGACCCCCCCACAGCAGCTGGTGCTGCTCTGGACCTCCCTTCGTTAAAGACTCTGTACGTCTTTAAGCAGCCGTTTGAATTGTGTGATAAGTTTGGACTGAAAAATAACATCTGCAGGCTTGTACAAAGCTCAAAAGGAACAGAACTTCCTCTCTAAATCTCAACTGGGTCTAGTGTCAACGAGCATCAGAGTGCCTTATTCTGCATCTCAGTTCTGGGCCGGAGCCTCCTAACACAGTTTTAGCACCAATAGCTTCTACTTGGCTAACTCCTTAAATAGAAAACCAAAAAAACCACCCAACGTCTGACTGGATTATTTCTGTGCACCTCAACACACACAGTGGGGGAAATAAGTATTTGAGCCCTTGCTGATTTTGCAGGTTTGCCCACTTACAAAGAATGCAACGATCTATAACTTTAATCATATGTACATTCTAATAATGGAAGACAGAATCCCAAAGAAAATTCCAGAAAATCACATCATATGATTTTATAAAAATTGATAACCATCTGATGAGGAAAAGTAAGCATTCTTTGTAAGTGGGCAAACCTGCAAAATCAGCAAGCGGTTACCTTTGGTGCAGGCACAAAGGCGGTCAGTCCCAGAGCAGTAGATAACTGAGACGAAGGGGTCCGTCTCCTCGGGGGACCCCTCTTTTTTGGGCGGCTCCACCTTCACCAGGACCTCCAGCGTGGACAGGTCCAGGACCATGATGCACCCGGCCTGCGTGGTGACCACCAGGTGGCCCAGGCCGCTGACCTCCGCCCGCTTGTGGCCGCCGGCGGAGGTGGAGGGGGTGGGGGGGGCCGTATTGCCGCCGCTGGCCGCGGACCCCGCCCCCGAGGAGCAGTTTTTGGATGCCGAGGGGCGGGCCTCCTCGGGGGACTCCTCGCTGTCGTCCTCCCTGCTGTCCAGCACGTCGGGGGGCAGCAGGATGAGGGAGGTGACGGCCTCGCAGGGGTCCAGGATCTGCTGGACTTTGACCGGCTCCTCCTCCAGGGTGACGATGCGGGTGGAGTAGTTCAGCTTGTAGAGCGCCAGGTACCCCCCCCCCGCCCCCCCCGCCCCGGCCGCCGGGGGCCCTCCTGTGCTGCTGCTGCTCTTGCGGGGGCAGGATGAGCGGGGTCTGGGGCGGGGACGGCTCCACGCCGTTGGCCACGGGGTGGCCGCAGAGGGCGGCCGAGTGCAGGCGGTTGATGTTGTTGAGCGCCTCCACCTGGTTGGAGGCGCTGGGCGGCTGGTCGGCGGCGGCGGCGGCGTGGGGCTGCAGCACCACCAGCAGGTGCACGCCGTCCCAGCAGGGCGTGATGGAGTCCACGTACAGCCGCTGGCCCTCCAGCTGCCCGGGCAGCCGCAGGCACTGGACCAGGGCGCCGGGCCGCGGGGGGCCGGCCGCGGCCGAGGCCGCCAGCGTGCTCCACTTGTCCGCGTGGCCGTCCAGAGTGGTGGACGCCGCGGCGGCGTCGGCGAACTGCTGGATGTAGGTGATGGGCGGGTCCTGGAGGAGCAGCTGCTCGTGCGTGTCGAACTCCATCTCGATGATCTGCGGCACGGTGAAGCCCTCCTCGTGCAGCCCCTTGCCCACCAGGCTGTTCATCTGGGCGAAGGCCTGCCCCGGGGACTTGTCGTCCGCCTCGCGGACGCTGTACAGCAGCAAAACCGGCGTAGTCCTGCGGGCGGCCGGCGGCGGGGGGGGGCCCGGGAGCGGGTTGGGGAAGCCCGGCTCCGTCGGGGCGGTCTGGGCGGTGCAGGACTCGATCTCGATGGGCCCCTGCTCCTGAAGGGGTCCGAACAAAGGCTCGGCGCCGTGAGTCCGCAGCGGGCCGTCGGGGGTCCTGCGGGGGGGCGGGGGGGCGTTGGAGGGCCCGGCCACCACCGGGGTGCCCGAGGGGGAGCGGTAGCTGAGCAGCCCCCCGGCCAGCAGGCAGGGGAAGGGAATGTTGTGGTGGTGGTGGTCGGGGGCCTTGTCCTTGGCTTTGGCCTGGGAGTGGGAGTGGGAGTGGGCCTTGGCTTGGTTGAGGGAGGGGTTGGCCCCCAGCTCCTCCAGGTCTTTGACCGTGTCCTCCAGCACGCTGGCCACCACCTCCCACTGGAGCTTCTCGGGCTGCTGCAGGACGCTGAG